TGGAGATCCCCCCCTCCCCGGAAAGACTCCTCGTCCCCGCCTCTAATCGCTTGGGCGAAGCGGGGGGGGGGCAAGGAAGGGGTCAAGGATCAGGGCCAGGTCTCCGGGGAGGAGGTGGGTGAGACTGACTGACTGTCTGTCTGCCTGTCTCTCTCTGTGTGTCTCTGTTTGTGTATCTGTGTGTGTGTGTGTTCCTGGATGATCTGGCAGAAAGGAGGGGCTAACCGGATCCCTCTCAAGACCAGATCCTGAGCTGAGGATCAAGTGCAGGAGCGGCTTCCTTGTTGTCTTGCTGGTGTGTGAACACAGACCTGTCTTTTTCCCCCCTGAAAGGAAAGGTGCAGGAGCGGCTTCCTTGTTGTCTTGCTCGTGTGTGAACACAGACCTGTCTTTTTTCCAAAAGGAAATGCAGGAGAGAAGCCGGAGAGAGAGAAAGAATGGGGTGGACTTTCCTCCGTGGGGATCTTTCCTATCGGAGACCGAAAGGGAGATCGATCTCCCCAGGAATGGGTTCCCATAGGGCTGTCGGCTGTGCAGAGAGAGAGAGAGAGAGAGAGGCCCGTCGTGGGACACCACGTCTGCACGGTGGCCTGCCGCACGCGTGGGCCCGGATGCCCACGACCATCGTGGCATCCATGAGCACCCATGCCTCCGCATGCACGTTTGAAGTCTCAGGCATCTGAACACAACAACGAAGGCCTATTCCGTAAGCCCTGGTATGCAGGCATGCTGGGTCACTGCGGGAGTGGTATGACAGCATCGGTCCCATTTTGGCCCAGTGGTCCTGCGTAAGGGAAACTGAGGCACAAGAGGACAGAGACCCTGCTGATATTGAGGGGGTTTCTGTGGAAGAGGAGCCTGGGAAGCACACCTGGGAAACAAGGGCGGCTCTCCTTTCCTCTCCCACTCAGATCTCAGGTCAGCCTTTCCTTTTTCTGTCAGGTCTCATTGGACCCACCCGGCTTTTAACAGCCCCACGTGCAGATCACAAGGTTGGCTGATAGGGTTACCTCGATTCTGCTGGCTGAGAGGAGGAGGAGGAGGAGGAGGGTTAACAGACCATCTTCCCACCCAATATCATCACAACTGGCATAACCCCACTCACAAGGGTATTGTCCATGATGATATACCTAACTCTGAGAGCCTGGACATCTTTTCTCTCTTTTTAGATAAAAGGACTAGAATTCTAGCTGCGGGGAGAAGATTCCTGCTGGATTCTGGTAACTGTAGTGAAAAAGATACCAAAGCCCATGCTTACCTTAAGGACTAGTGTACATCCTTAAGGCTTGCAAACTCAGCCTTGCGTTAGGTCCTTCCTCTCTCCCTCCTGCCTTTGTTTATTTATATTTTCTAACAAATTTTGTGCCCTCTATTTAGTGGTTCTGGCTTGTAAAGAGACTTCTGAGGTTATTGCTTATTTATGGTGCCCCTTCTGAAAACAGCCCCGTGATGCCAGGATAACAAATCAAAATGGACACATCCTCCTTCTATATCCCTGAAGCTCTAGATTTCTATTGGCAGGGAGTGACACCCCTTCTTTTGCTTCACCTGGCCTCTGTGCAGATCCTGCCTGAGGGTGAGGACAAAACCCTGCAGGTTAAACAGAAGAGGCTGGACAGCCGAGGTGGGGCAGGGATTCTCACTAGAGGTCTGGGTCACACCGAGACGCCTGCAGGAAGGGCTGAGATGTACGACACGGGTCTTGCGACGAGCAGAAGGTTAACACAGCTGTGGAGAATAGGCTGCTGCCCCTGTTGTAAGAGGCTGCCTCCCTCAGACTCTTTCCACAGGAGAGGGGAAACCTGACTGCGCTACACAGTGTGTGTCGGAGCGCAGCCTCTCAGTCCCTCAGCCACCACGGCCCCATCCTGCACGAAAGGGAGGAAAAGGGGAGAACAAGCTGGATCAGGACAGAGGAAGAAAGTCCCCCCCAAAAAAATACAAAAAAGGGGAGTGGGATGGTGGGGGTCTCTCAGTAGGGAGGAGGGGGCAAAATAGAAATCTGGGGTGCAAGGTCACCTCCCAATGATTCTGGGCAACCACCGTGACCTGCCCCAGTCTCTCCCAGTTGGGTTGCATGACCTGACTCCAACGGGTGGTCCTGGTTGAGTCTGGAGAAAGAGGACAGTTTCTTCAAGGGGGAGATTTTCATTTCCATGGGGGTGGGGGGGCGTGAATGCCGCATCCTGTCAAGTCCCTCTGGGAGAAACTGACCAGGAGCCCTGTGGAGCCCCCAAGTCCCCCAAGCCTTGGTTTCCTTGTGACTTCAGGCCAATTTACCCGAGAAGGGGAGGTTACGCTTGGGGTGTTTTCCCCCCCTTCAGGCTTTAAAGGGACCCCCCTGGTCCTCAGCCCCGCTTTTTCTCCTGAGGAAGCCCCCCCTTCCTGCCTTGGAGTCCACGCAGGGCATGAGGGAGGCTCTACTTGCCATCTCCCACCACCACCACACACACTCCCCTCTTCATCCAGCCCTTCGCCCCCTTTAATGGCGGTGGGGGGCGTTCCTCCTCCTCCCTTCCTTTTCTGAGGGATCGACCTGGCCACAATCCTCCTCCTCCTCTGGCTCCGCCCAGGGAAGAACAATGGAGGCCCAATGATAAGTCGCTCCTCTTGCGCGTCACCCGTTGCTGGGCGGAAGCCCTCCAGGGCGGGTCCCCTTGGGCGTCCCCTCCCGTTTTTATGGTGTCTACAGGGGTTGCCTGGCAACCCGACGACAGGTTTTGTTTCCGCCCAGAAGACTATGGAGACCCAATGAGAGCTGGCTCCTCCTCTTTACGCGTCAACTGTCTCTGGGCGGAAGCCCCTCCCTTTGGAAGACTGGCTGGGAAAGAGCCACCGTTTCCCCGACCCCCCTGACTTGACGGGCTGTCCTCCAAGCCCACCCACGGCTCTTCTCTGCGCAGGCGCAAGATCTCCTCTCTAGCTGCTCTGCTTGCTCTCCCTCCCGCACATGCGCCCCTCTTCCCACAGAGGCGACGGCGGGTTAGCCATTGGGGGGGGGTTCTGTGGCGCATGCGCAGTTGAGAAGGCAGCCAGCACGTCTCGCCTCAGGGAGGGGGTTGGGCGAGTTTTAATAACCGCTGATTTTTAAAAAATTCTTCCCTCCGGAGGGAGAGGCACTGGGGGGGGGGGAATGCGCTGTTGTTCTCCTTCCCCACACGTTTGAATGGGGCAGGGCGGAGGTCTCTCTCTCTCTCTCTTTGTGTGTATGTGTGTTTTTGTGTGTGTGTGTGAGAGAGAGGGCCGTTGGCTGTGCAAAAGACCTGCCCCCCCGGATCCTCCCTCTTCCTCCTAGGGATTCGCCCTCCTGCCTCCCCTTCACAGCCCTCCATAGGGTGGAGGAAAGAAGGGGCTTTGGGAAGAGGCCGAAAGAGGCTCCAGTCCTTCCACAGGGAGGGCAGGAGGAGACAAGGACCGGATATTAAGGCGACCCAGTCCCTCTAGATCTGCAGGTTTTCCCTCTCCTGGCAGGTCTTTTGCAGAGTGAATGGCTCTGAAGGGTCCGTTCCAGACCAAGGGATCACAAAACACTTTGATTTCCAGCTGGGGCTGCCCTGACACCAAGACCCCCCACCCATCCACCCTCGGTTGCCGCCCCTCCAAGGCCCTGTGAAGTTGGCAGTGGGCTCCAAAGGAAGAGCAGTGAGCCCCAAGGGGTTGGAAGACAGCAGGCAAGAAAAGTCCTGAGACCTGAACTCGGCCCGCCCTGGGGGGGCAACCCCAAGACACACAGGGCCCTTGGCCCACGGAGGGGGCCCGGAGGTCGAGGAGCCCTTTTAGAGACGCCCCCCCCCGCTTTGGGATCATCGAAGAGACCGAAAATAACGAAGGGGCCCGTGAAAATAGAGAGTCCGGTCCAGCCCTCGGTCCGCTCCATCGCACGGGGGGGGGGGATTGGTGTTTTATTAGAGGTTGATTTTGTTTACCATCCTTAGTGCAGCTCTGGTTTGATTCATTTTGAGGTTTTGTTTTTCACTTTTGAATATTGCCCTTTAATGATGTACCTAAACTGCCTTGGGTCCTTTTTAAGGAGAAAGGCGGGGTAAAAATATTGTAAATAAATAGTGGGAGACTTTTGACTTAAGGGAGATGCTCCCTTTTGACTTTAGACAAATGCCAAAAGAACAGGAATGTGGCTAAGAACATAATACGTATGTAGAATAAAATTTGCTACTCCTTAGAACAGGAATAAAACTTAATTTCTGCTATATCCAAGTATCACTCCCCCCCCCTTTAAATTCTGACAATAAAAGCGACGCCGAATCTAAATCTGCTCCTCTTGGTTTAGCCCCCCTGGTTCCCAACCTTGGGTTACTCAGGAGTTTTGGACTGCAACTACCAGAAGCCTTCACCACCAGCTGTCCTGACTGGGGTTTCTGGGAGTTGCAGTTAAAAAACATCCGAGTAACAACGGTTGGGAACCACTGGTTTAGCCTTTCATGAACAATAGGCAACAGACAGAGGCCAAAGTCTAGATATAGCACGTACAAATAACCCCCCAATAATAAGAACCACAATTCAAATTACAGATGCTCCTGTGGCAACAGAGAGTCCGGTCCACTACATCACGCGGGGCTCTGGCGTTTTCTCAATGTTGATTTCGTTTACCATCCTTAGTGCAGCTTCGGTTTGATTCATTTTAAGGTTTGTAGTCTTGCTGTTTTTCACTTTTAAATGTTGCCTTTTTCTGAGGCACGTAAGCGGTCTTGGTTTTTTTTCATGAGAAAGGCAAGATAAAAATATTTTAAATCGACATTGAGAGACCTATCCTCTTGTATTCTGCTACTTTCATTGCATGTGTCAGAGGGTGAGAGACAGTAAGAACTGTGGCTGGGCTGTTGTCAACTGCCATCCGGAGTTTGGCTCTATCTCCCTCCGTTTTCCAGGACTAGGCCCTGCGACTCCTGATTGCCTCACTCCCCCCCCAACATCAGCCACCTGGCTTAGGGTGAGTGAAGGCTTTTAAGCCGAAGGTGTTCTCAGGGCCTCACCGGACCAACATTCCTGCCTTTGGGGGAGCGGAAGATCTTCTGCCTGCCACAATCTCACTGGGTGAGAGATTCTGCCTGCCAAAATCTCACTGGGTGAGAGACAGTAAGAACTGTGCCTGGGCTGTTGTCAACTGCCATCCGGAGTTTGGCTCTATCTCCCTCCATTTTCCAGGACTAGGCCCTGCTACCCCTGATTGCCTCACCCCCCCCCAACATCAGCCACCTGGCTTAGGGGGAGTGAAGGCTTTTAAGTGTGGAAGGCTGTGGGGGGGGAATATTGGGTGTCGGTTAGTGAGAGTGAGTTGTTTGTCCCGCT